GCAGGGTTCCTCTGGGGCCCTTCACAACGGTGCGTCTCTTCAGAGTGACGTCAGCACTCTCTGGAAGGTCCACGGTGTGCTGCTGAGAACGGCCTTCGTCCTTGCAGTAGACACGGCAAAGAGAACGGGAGAGGTGCTCTTGCTGGAAGTCGCCCTCCATGTGCTCCTTGGCATACAGCAGAGGGGCCTCGTGCAGGCCCCGGGCAGGGCACTGGAGAAGCTGGGCGGGAGCAGGAGCCGAGGGCATGCAGGGGCCCTTGGACCAACGCTATAAGAAGGATCTTCCAAAAGTTCATGGAAAATATGTATTCAGAAAAAACTATGCATACATTTGTAATTTTTGACTAAAATAAGCTTATAGTTTAATTCCATTTTTATGACCCTTTGAAGGCCCCTTATATAAGGAATCTGCCCCTCCTGAGGCTGGTCCAGCTGGCTTGCTCCTCTCTGCAGAGTGAGGAGGTTTAGAAAAACCGGGAATTATCACAGAAAAGGTGGCCCTGACTCTACTCACACCTACGAGAACCACGCATGTTAATTTTGCACCCTTCGAATTTCTCCTTTCACTCGTTCGTCACCCCTAGAAACTGTTTAATATCTGGATAAGCCATCAAGAAACTGAAAACAGGGGCAGGGCCAGTTGAGGGCTCAGGGAACCTTCGCCCAGTGACAGGTCTCCAGCGTCCTGGGCGGCAGGGTAGGCCCTGGTGACTTCTTGCACGTTCCTCACTCATGTCAGGCTAACCTGCAGCTGCCTGTCACTCCACGTCTCCTTGGGAAATCGAAGCCCGCAGCCTGCTCAGACCTCTGGCTGAAGGTGACCAGGTGGACACAGAGGCCCCACGCCCGACTGCTGCTGACCTTCCAGAGTGCCAGCAGGGCCAGCTTTCCCCAGCTTCCCCTGAGAGCGACCGCTGAGGCCAGCTCATCAGCCTGTGATGACTAAAGAACTGGGACAGGTCAGCCGTGCTAAGACAGGCCTTTCAGGGGACAGTGATGGCAGAAGGGGGACAGAGAGGGAAGGGAGACGGCAGCAGGCAGGCTGATCACACAGGTGCCATGGCAGTGCTGATCTGGGCACGACCCTGTAGCCAGCAGTCCAGGGCTGAGGCACAGCAGGGAAAGCTGTGCCATTCAGGGTCCCCAGAGCAGGCCTGGGGGTGGGCCTCAAGAGCAATCAGGGATGTGTTTCCCCGTAAGAACCAGTACTGCAACCCCCCCAGCAGTGGGAAGAGGATGCTGCATGGAGGGGCAGCCTGTGCAGAGCCCGCCATCGGGTCAGGGAGCCTTGCCTCCTGCAAAGCCAGGAGCCTGGCAGCTCTGCGGTGACAGGAGAGTCGAACGTGAGCAGGGGGTGTTTCTAACCCCTGGCCTGGGTGATGGGCCATGGGACAGGTGTCGGGAAGGACCTTGACACAACGTGGCTACTTCTGACTCCAGAGGTTTAGGTGAGGGGGCTGAGGGTGTAGCCAAGCCCCAGGTCCTTTATTCCTCCCAGGGAACCCCAACGGCCCCTCTCTAATTCTCTTCTCATTTTCTTCTCTGTCCTACCTTTCTCCCCTGGATGCTGGTGATGTAGATTTAGTGAGACATAGTGGTGGCAACTGAATCCTTTCAGCGAGGAGGAAATGACTTCAGGCAGACGCTCAGGGAGCCCTGCGCCAAGTCCGAGGAAACTCAGCACAAGCCGCCAGCAGGAAATTTGTTGTGGTCGTTTTCAATCCTCTCTCAGATCCAGAAAGCGGTTCTCGGAGCTGGCTGTTCAGCCGGGCTCCCGGT